CAGGGCTACTACGTGGAGATGACGGTGGGGAGCCCCCCGCAGAAGGTGAGCTCCCCCAGCCTAGCGAGCCCGCCCGCCGGAGAGTGGCCGGCCCGCGGCCGGAGGCTCCGGCGCCGCTCCAAGCGCTTCCGGGCGGAGGGCGAGGCGCTTTGCTTCGCGGCCTTTCGGGGTCCGCTGTCCTGCTGCTGCAGGTGAGGGGCCCGGAGGACAGCGGGCAGTTCCTGCCGTCCCCGGCCAGGGAGAGGCTCCTCCGGGAGAGGGCCCGGTGCGAGTCCTGAGGCTGGGCCGCCTCCTCTCCTCTCCTCTCCCCCCCTCCCCTCCCCCTTCCCGGGGGCTCGTTTGTGGCGACCTCTTAGGAGCCCTGCTGTCCGTGGTCGCTGCCCCAGATCCTCGTTCTGGATCTGTCGCAGGATCAGGGTCGCCTGCCCGGTGGCCGGGTGCCCTTTAGAGAGCGGCGGAGTGAGTCCGGCGGTTACGTAGGCTGGGAAGAGCGAGTCCCGCTACAAAGTCGCAGCAGCTGCTGTCTTCTGCGCGTGGGCTCGTGGCTCTTTCGGTGCCTCTGACCCTCGATGCGTTCTGGCCCGGAGGGGTCCGATGCCGGCGCAGCAGCTGTTGGCTGCTGGTGGGCGTTTTAAGGGAGCCACCCTCGGGATTGGGAGGACGGTGAGTTTCGGTGAAATGCGGTATGAACGATACAGCGCGTTTCTGTCTTCTTTTCGCGACCTGGTCAGGATGACTGACGTGCGCGTGGTTCTTCTCGGAACTGCCGGCTGGAGATGTGTAAATGGTAGGCTGGTGTAGCCGCGGCAAAGGATGGGACATTTATTTATTTATTTATTGTATTTATTTATTGTATTTATACAGCCGCCTATCTCACATGAAGATCTTCAAAGACTTCTTGGCTTTATGTGACCTTGTGCTGGGGAGGAACTCTCACCTGAGCTGCTGGGCAGAGGGGAAGAGAGAGGGCACTCGGCCCTCTCTCGGGGAAGTTTTTCAGTTGCTTCAGAGGCTCTGCTGCCTCGAAATGCCCCATCTTTTTTAGCTGGCCCTCTGCCAGCTGCGGACCGTTCTGGAAAGGCAGGCCCCTTCCAGTTGCGATCATCGCCACCTTGGGGTGGGGTGGCTTGGCCTCCCTGTCCCTGAGCAGGGAGGGAGATCCTCTTGTTGACCATCGCGTTGCTTCCGCTCAAGCTGGAACTCCCAGCAGGGTAACACGCGAAGCTGGCAGCGGCCCTTCGCCACCACGGCGCTGCACCACGGTGCTGCAGAAAAGAGATAACGGATAAAGCCACGACCTCGTGCTTGTCTGTTTCTGCACCTGCTGGTTTCAGCACACAAAGAACTTGCCTGATGCTTCAAGAGCACATCTTCTGGGCTAGTGAGAGCTGTAGTCATAGCCACTGCATCTGGAAACCGACACTGGTCTGGTAAAATGTGAGGTGGGTGCGGAGACATTTCGCAGCTCCTACGTGCACAGATTCAGCCTACCCCGTGCTGTTCTCTGTTCCAGCTGAACATCCTGGTAGACACAGGAAGCAGTAACTTTGCTGTGGGCGCTGCCCCCCATCAGTTTCTGCAGCGCTACTACCAGCGCCAGCTGTGAGTATGCAAGGCCAGCCATGTGAGCCGCTGAGGGAGGAGGGTTGCCCCCGCAGGAGAGCTCCCCCAGCTTGCTTTTCAGCAAGGCGCTTGCACCTGATGGGGTTTCTTGCGCTGCTCTCCCCCACACCTGCTCCCTCTGTGTTCTGTGCCTCGAGCATCTGGCTGGCTGTGAGCTTTGGCTCTGAGAGGACAACTGAACGCTGAGACTGGCCTCTTCTTCTTGTTCGGGCTGTCTGGAGCGACGTGGCTGTGCAGAGGGTGCGCCCTGAATTTTCTGCCTGTGTCTCTTGTAGCTCCAGCACTTACCGGGATCTGCGGAAGGGTGTCTATGTGCCCTACACGCAGGGGAAGTGGGAAGGAGAGCTTGGCACTGACTTGGTGGCCATCCCTCACGGCCCAAACGTCACAGTCCGTGCCAACATCGCCGCCATCATCAAGTCGGACAAGTTCTTTATCAACGGCTCCAACTGGGAAGGCATTCTGGGCTTGGCATACGCCGAGATTGCTCGGGTGAGCCTCTTTTAGCCTGTGGCACATCGCTTAGGAGGCATTTCATGCAAGCAGCAAAGTGACGCTGTCTTTTCCTGGGCAGAATATCGGCTGGTTGATTTGGGCCGTAATGAGGAGAGTCTGTTAAGGGGGTGTTTCAGAAAGGTGTGCCCCAGTCAAAAAAGGGCTATCCTGGTAAATCAACCTCCCAGCCGCATTTGGCAGCCAGCCTCTCCCTCCAATGGCAGTTTTCTCTTCTGAACTGCCCTTAGGCCAAGTGCGCCAAAGGTAGGGCGAATCCTCTCTCGCTCTTACTTCTGCCGCGCCAAGCGGAATCTGGCCCCCTTGGGGCTCTCCAGCAATTAGTCCCCAGCCTGCTCTGGGGCACAGCCCTGCACTTTGGACTCCCTCGTGTGAGTCCCATCCCAAGCATTTGGGGGTGACTTGTCCAAGCTGGATTGAGGAATCTGCAAAGATCCTCCTTCGCACGCAAGCTCCAGCGTTGATGCCAAGAGGATCCCCAGGCCCTGCCTAGTTCAAGAGGATGGTTGAAACCATCCAGCCCCCCTCCCTCCGCTGTCCGCCAGATGTTTTAGAGTAGTGCTTCCCATAATGTACAGACAGCTAGGAATTCTGGGAGATGCAGTCCCAATATATTGTTGAGGGGGAAGTGGGAGAAGGGGGGTCACGGCCCTGACCTGATCCCTCTTTCCAGCTGAGTGAGGATGCTCTGGCGAAGCCCAGCTGGACTGGACAGTGACCTCTAGCCCAGCCACACTGCTCCATGCCTTTCTTTCTCCTGCTAGCCGGATGACAGCCTGGAGCCCTTCTTTGACTCGCTGGTGAAGCAAACCCAGGTGGCCAACATCTTCTCCCTGCAGCTGTGCGGAGCAAGCTTCCCGACCAACGACTCTGAAACCCTGGCATCCGTGGGGGGCAGCATGGTGAGGGCATGTGGCGGGAGGCCTTGCTTCCCTTTTGCTGGCAGATGGTTGCTCTCTGCTTCGGTATCATGGCCTTTAAATGTGCCCCAGAAGTGGTTTTTGTGCCTTAGAGCAGGCTCCAATTGAGAGCACCTCTAAGCATATGCAAAGTGTTTAGGTCTAGAGAAGGCAGGGCTACAGCAAGTGCCTGCAGAGTGTTTCTTTCTCCGTACGGGTCAGCTTGTGACTCTGTAAGCGGAGAAAGGGGTTTGCAAGGGGCAGCTGCTCCTGATGTAGGCAGGGATGCCAGCTGCACTTTGGGTGGGCCCTCTGCCTCCTGCCCCTAAGAGTTGCTCTGTGTCCCCCTTTCCTCACAGATCATTGGCGGCATCGACCAGACCCTCTATAGGGGCAATATCTGGTACACGCCCATCCGGAAGGAATGGTACTATGAGGTTGTCATAGTCAAGATTGAGATCAACGGGCAGGATCTCCAGATGGACTGCAAGGAGGTGAAGGGGCTGCTGATTCAGAATGTGGGGGAGGAAGGGCCGTGTAATGGCGTGTGGGAAAGACCTTGGGAAATGGGGCCAAGAGATGCTGTCCAGGGAACAGTCAGATAAGAGACGGCATAGCCCACAGCTGGATAGTGGGCAGGGCAAGAGGGTTAGAAGAGACCGTCCCTAGTTTCTTGTGGTGGGGGGGAGAATTGTATTTTCAGATTTGCAAGATTCTGTCAATGTAGCTTTACGATAAAGTAGAATTAGCTCATCTGGATGTGATTCCTGTCTGGTTTACCCCGCGAGGCTGACAGGCTCCCCATGTTGAGTCGGTCAGGTTCAACTGGGCTGTGGGGGTGGGGAGCATCAGCACCCCGATCTCCTTGCCTCCCTCAGAGAGTGCCTGGCTGGCTCCCGAGCAGCTTTTCTGCCAGGGTTCAGGCTGGTCCCTTGTGCAAACACGGAGCCAGAGCCTGAATTGGGACCTCTTTCCCCAGTACAATTACGACAAGAGCATCGTGGACAGTGGCACCACCAACCTGAGGCTGCCCCGGAAGGTCTTTGAGGCAGCCGTGAAGTCCATCAAGACAGCTTCCTCGGTGAGAGACGCCTGGGCAGGTGGGGCGTGGGCAGGGGACTCCTCTCCCACTTGAGAACCAGCATCCCCCACCCCAAGGGCAAGTGCGCGCAGGCAGGCAAGCAGGCAGGATGTCCCGATGGCATCTTTGGTTTTGTCCAGGAACTGTGCTCAGTCCCTGCCAGGTCTGCAGCTGGGGAAGCGATGGGAAGCAAGGGAGCAGGTCTCTTGGTGTGGAAGTTAGCTCTGCCGGGGGTGGGGGGTCAGGACAAGCCATCCAGAACTTGAAATAGCTTCCACTTTGGGGAGTCAGGGGGCTGTCCCAGAGTCTGCTGGGGGCTGTCCTGTGCTGAGAAGTTTCCTGTTCTGACCCCCACCCCACAGACAGAGAAGTTTCCGGATGGCTTCTGGCTGGGGGAGCAGTTGGTTTGCTGGCAAGTGGGAACAACCCCCTGGAACATCTTCCCAGTCATCTCGCTCTACCTGATGGGCGAGACCACTAACCACTCCTTCCGGATCAGCATCCTGCCCCAGGTGGGTGCCAGGTTCTCAGCAGCCAAAGGAGGGGGGCAGTCTGTTTGGAGGGCAATATCAGAAGTCCTGGACAGGGGAGAAGGCGGAGTCCAGTGGGGAGCAGGAAGGAAGGTCAGCTGAGAATATCAGTGGCACAAATCATCTCTTTTGGCTTTGCAGAGAAGCTGGAAAAATGCTAACCTTCAAGGACTTGAACTTTGGGCTCGCATTCATTATGGCATGGAGCCTATCAGCCTTCACGCTGAGAACTTGAAGCTTTTCTGAACTATTGAAATATAGAATCTTCCATTCTTTTCAAAAACACATTTTAAGCAACGTGAAAAGTTTGCTGTTAAAAACTCAGAGACTAAAAATAGTTTCTTGTGCAAGAGAGCCTGGTGCACCTGTAACATTACAGGTAGTCCTCGACTTACAATGGCAATTGGGACCGGAATTTCCATTACTAAGCGATGCGGTCCTAAAGCGCAACCACATCGCTTAGCAACAGCAATCCCTACAATCCCCGTTGCTGTCGTTAACCGAACCCCACAGTCATTAAGTGAGGCAACTTCCTGCTGGCTTCCCACAACAAAAGTCAGTGGAGAGCTGACAGGAAGTTGCAAGCCCCAGGCTGGCAGGCAGGTAAGTCACAAGTGCCAGGTGGGGGAGGGAGTGAGAGAGGGTGAGGGACTGGGATGCGGTGCACGAGACATGGCAAGAGTTGGGGAGGGTTCGTGAGGATGTGAGAGGTGCGGTGTAGGGTGGGGGAGGGGTGCAGGGGTGCACAAGTGGCTGGCATGGCACTAGCGCAGAGGGGCTGGGGAAGGCAAATGGAGGGTGGGGGAAACTTACCCCAGTGACTTGTGACCTTCCCTGCCAGCATCCCCATTGATTTTCTGGGGAAGGCAGCAGGGAAGGTTGCAGATGGGGATTGTGATCACGGGGCACTGCAACTGGTTGTAAGTGCAAGCCAGTTGCCAAGTGCCCAAATCATGATCGTGTGACTCTGGAAGTGCTGGGATGGCCGGAACTCTGAGAAATGTTCGTAATCACCATTTGTTCAGCGTTGTCGTAACTTTGAATGGTCGCTGAACAAATGATCATAGATTGAGGGCTACCTGTATTCTTTTAGGCACAGTTGTGACAATATAATACTGACATTGCCTCTAATAAGGGTTCAGAATAGAACTTTGTGAAGACAACACTTTGTTTAAAAAATGCATCAGATCTTTTCAAAGAGTAAATTTGATCCATGGGTTAATTTCTGAGCTTTGCTCTGGATGTTGCCTAGCACTTCCTGGCAAGCCAGGAGGAAAAACGCAGCAGGGATCAAAATCAAGGGGAGTCGTCATTCCTCGTTATTGCACATGGGTGAGACCACGCTTAGAGCATTTAGTCCAGCCTTGGCCACCACGTCTTAGGAAGGAATCTGGGATGCTGGTAAGCCGGAGTGGGCCCCGAGGTGAGCGGCCAAGAGGGCAGGGGCTCCGGGCGGGAAGTGTCGAAGCAGCATCGGAGGCACCGGGTGCACTTGGCCCGGGAAAGGGAAAACTGGGGAGGCGCGATGGGCGTCCCCAAATATCCGAATGGTGTTTTGTAGAAGACGGGAGAGAATTGTTCAGAGTCATCCCAGAAGGCAGGGTGAGAAAATGGGTTTAAATTACCACAAAACACATTTTGACTGGACGTCAGAAAAAATGGAACAGACGTCCTTGGGAAGAGGTAGGTTTAGGTGGGCCTGATGGCCATCTGTCCAAAGGGGTGGGATTCTGCGCCTGGCAGGGGGTTTGACCAGATGAGCCCCAAGGTCCTTCCAGTCCATAGGTTCCTGCAGCTCTGTCAAAGAAATCGTCAGGCTTCATCTGAACTAACCTTGACGCAGGAATTGGGAAGTGATGGACGCCTCAAAGGCAGCGTGCGCAGACGGCTTTTCTGTTCCTCCCGGGAACGCCAGCTACCTCCTGCGGTCTGGCCTGAAGAGGCAGCCCCGGACGTTCACGTCCAAGAACAGGGAAACCCGTCGCAGGACTCACTCGTCTTTGCTTCCTCCCCTCTCAGCAATACCTGAGGCCTGTTGAGGATGTGGCCACCTCCCAGGACGAATGCTACAAGTTTGCCGTCTCCCAGTCCTCCACCGGCACCGTCATGGGAGCCGTGATCATGGAGGGCTTCTACGTGGTCTTTGACCGGGCTCAGAAGCGCATTGGCTTCGCTGTCAGTACTTGCCACGGTAGGTCTCACCGCGCTAGCGTCTGCTACTTCCCCACGGAAGCAGCTCGGGTGCCTCTGACCTGCACAGCTCCTCTGCCCCTCGGGTCACTGCCCAGGTCATGCCTTGCTCCCCCTCCAGCATGAAGATGGAGCTCAGGCTGAGCCCCAAAGCTGTTCTCGGTGGCAGGTTCTGAAATGCTCTCCAACATGCTCGGAGCATTTTTTCTCCCCAGGCCCCCAGGTTACCAGGCCCACACGCTTTTCAGGGCCCAGCTGGCTCCTGCGCGGGGCTCACGTCTCACATCTCACCTCTTCTTCTCTTTCCTGGGTTCAGCGCAGGATGCATTCCGGACGGCTGCAGTGGACGGGCCTTTCCTGCACCCCAACATGGAGGACTGTGGCTACAACATCCCCCAGACGGATGAGTCGACGCTGATGACCATTGCGTACATCATGGCAGCCATCTGCGCCCTCTTCATGCTCCCCCTCTGCCTCATGGTCTCGCAGTGGCGCTGCCTGCGCTGCCTCCGCCGCGGCCACGATGACTTTGCCGACGACATTTCCCTGCTCAAGTGAGCTCTGCCCTCCCTGGCCCAGAGCCCGTGCCATTGTCTCCTCTCTTAGGGCGGCCGTGGCCTTTGCCTCCTCCGTGGGGGGAGCTGCTGTTGCTGCTGCCGCTGCCACTGCCCACAGCCCGTCGCACCACCAGCCTCCAGCCAGTGGCGGGCAGAGCGGTTGGCAGGACCGGTTGCGGCAGAAGAGCCGCTCCCTTTGCTTCCACCGTGTGCTAGGAGTTCCACCCCAGCCCACCGGCTGATGAGGCCAGTGGGAAGAGAGTGGCGCAAGCGGCGGGCAGGAGGGCTGAGCTGGCCCGTCTCCTCTCCGGAAGGCACCAGGACCTTTTCTCCCGTTGCTCTGGATCTGCCTGTGACAGTGACTGCTGCAGCTTGCGTGACGTGGAAGCCCTTGATGAGAAGGGGGGCTCCCTAGCGGTGCTTCTTTGTAATTTATTAAGGGGGGGTTGCGTGCTTGTGTGTCTTTAAAATATATCAATCATTATGAAACCGAAGGGGGGTTGCAGTAACCCACTTTCAGAGTCTTCGGGTGCCCGCTTGGAACTTGGGTGACATCACTTCAAGGACAACCCTCTGACCCCCCCCACCCCCGTGCCTGCTGGGACCAGGGATCAGTTCAAATGCTCTTAATTGGTAAAGGGATCACTGGAGGTTTTCTGGGGTAGAATAAGTCTGGATGGCTGTAAAAGTCTGAATTCCAGGAATCGAGAAGTTTATGGCTATAATGGGGCGATTGCCTCTTGAGGGGTTGAGGCCTGTCCGGCAGCTCTGCCTGTCCTTGTGCTGCCCTTCCTCCTCGGCTCCCTGGGTGGGGAAAGTTTCTCTGGCAGGTTCCAGAGGACTCCCCTCCTCCAGGTTCTGGTAGGGGGCCCCATGAGCTGGCCTTTGGGGCCCGAGTGCCAGCCTCCCAGCTTCCCTGGAGGGTGATGGCGCTGCACCGCTGGGCAGAGTGCCTGCGGCAGGAGCAGGATTTGCACAAAGGCTCAGGGGCCAGAGGATGCCCTTGCAAGTCCAGGCACTGAGTTTGACTCAAGGGAGATGTGTCCTCAAATCCTCCTCGATGGAACCCCTGCGTGGTGGGCCTTGGCGGGGAGGGCCGATCCCTGCCATTCTGGGCCGGGTGCTTTTGGTGCAGAGCGCAGGGCACCTGAAGCAGCAGCTTTCCTCTGGCACGTCTTCCTTTCTGTGGATCTGGCCCAGGTTCTTCCGTCCCGTCCGTAGCCCAAGAAGGTTGGAAGATTTCTGCTCTGCAGAGTGAGGGTTTGAGGCCAAAGCAGCCCCGTTGGGGCTCAGGGAGATGGCCAGTGCATGGGGACCCAATGACCTCGGGGCAGTTGGGGGCATCAGAGGCTGCTCATGGAGTGAACTGGCAGGCCTCTTTCCTTGGCAGCCTGCAGTCTGGCCTGCCAAGGGACCGCTGGCCATCCTCTGTGTTCTATTGGCAGAGGCAGCTGTGGGCCCCCGACTAGCGGCCTCTTTGCCAAACGGGAGCACCCGGGCCCCTGAGCAGTTGGTCTCCCTGGACTCTGATTGCTGCTCCAGGAGGGGTCTGCTGAGCCACAGCATGGAGGTTCAGGCAGGATTGAACCTGGGTGCTAGCCAGCCTCTCCTTAGTAGAGCAGGCGGCTCTGCCGTTTGCCTTCTGTCCCCTGGAATCCAGGCCACTTTCCTTTGCAGGTGATAGAAGTAGGTGGTGGTGAGTTCAACTTCCCTGCTGCTGTACTCCTTGTGTGCCGTGAGAACCCCCCCCCCTTTTTCCAGGCCCCCGGCTGTGCTCTCCCTGGGAAGAGCCAGCGGTCTGGGAGCAGAGGCCATGGGGCCGGGGAATGCCGCCCCCTTGGGATTTGGTGCGTGAGAAGCCTCAGGAGGTCAATTCTGTAGAGAAAGATGGCACAGGTCACAAAAGGACCCTTTTCCTGGGCCCGGTCTGGGTCTCCATTACTGCCTATGGCTTTGGCTGTTTGGAGCATTCCTCAGAAAACCCTTTGCGTGGATGCCGGGGCGGGGGGAGGGATGGGGACAGCTGCGTTCAATGTGCTTGTACAATATTTTGTAAATATTTGTAATATTGGCTCCCCAATCTTCCCATTTTGTCTCAAATGCAAACGGGCGAAGAAGCCAGACAACCTCCTAGCTGTGTCTTGTCTTTTCGGTAACGGCTTTGTCTGCATGAGTCTGTGGGCTCTGAGCTGCCCAGAAGGAGGGGCAGGACGGGGGACGTCCTGAGGCGGCACCGATACGCATCCTTTCCCCTCCTGCCCTTCCTGCTGACTGTTTGCATGGGACTGCATGTGTGGGACTGCAGCCGTGTTGGGAGCACAGGCTGTTGGTAGAATTACTGTCTTCAAAGGGACCATTCCAGCTCAATATTGACCAGGCCCCTGCTGCAGAATGTTGCCCACCCGTAGCAATGCATTTCCAGCGTGCCTCACATTGCAGGATGCCTTTACATGCAGCTGGGGAGGGGGAGCCCACCTCATTGTTGGAGTCAACCCAACAGTCCCAGAAGAAACTTGGGGCTTAATGCACCCTCCCTCGTAGAATGTTCAAAGCATCAGCTGCCATGGCGTGCTGAGCATGTCTGGCGCGCTGTGTAAGTCCAAGCCAGTCTCTGCAATCCCACATGCCCTCACAGGCAGCGCTCCGGAAAGCAGAAACCTCAAATGCACTCAGCCACTGCAATTCTGTAGCTAGGGAAGGATCCCACAGCCCGCAGGGTCCAGCAATTCCTGTCCTGATCCGACCCAGCAGCCCAAAGGCTGATGGCACTTGGGGAAGCATCATCGAGACCAGAAGCTTGCCGGTACCAGAAGACAGGGACCAGGCGGCTCCAAGGTGCCCAAAAGAGCAGGGGAGCTGAGCTGCTGAGCATCTCCTACCCCACAGAGCCATATCCGTTCTCAGGGCGCATCAGTGCATTAGAGAAAGAGAGCTCTGGCTCTCAGGCCACACTTCCTGGGCAAAGCCCCCTCAGGATCCCTGTGAAGCAGGAAAAGAAGGGTCCCACCCAATTCTGCATAATATACACATTTTATTATGAACTGGTATGCATGTGGACTTTCTATACACACATTCCCTATAGAATAAAAATGTACATGTGTATACATTGCCATATAAATACAGAGCTGTAGAAATGCTGGGGTGCCTCAAGTCATGTCAGAATCCTCCTCCATCTGCGTGGCGAGGAGCAGGGCTGCCCTCTTGAGCCGGGGTCATTTCAGGGTGGGGCAGAAGGGACAGGCATCATTTGCATTTGTCTGAGCCCAAAACTTGATGCACTGCAAGGAATCAACAGCTGCCCTTCAGCGTCTCCCTCCCCAGCAGAAGCAGCAGGGCCAGAGGGGCCTTTGGCCTTCAGCTGCAGCCCCCAAGTAGGGGGGTATTTTAGGCCTCTGCCCTTAAGTCTGGCCTCCTCCTCCTGACTCCAGCCTCCACACACAGGCCCAGGGGAGCTCCTGATCCTGCCCATGCAGTCAGGACAGTCCAACCTCCCCTGGGGTGTCTCAGCCCCCTCACCTCCTTGTGCAGCACATGTGAACAGGCCATGGGGTGGAGGTCGCTGGGCGGGACCAGCTTCTGGCACATCAGACACAGTTTGCAGGTCACAGGTGCCTGGGAGATACACACAAAGCAAAGAGAGACATAAAGTCCAGGCAAGGAATGGGGGGAACGTCTCCCTGAGCCTGTGGGTTGAGCCAACTCAGAAGACCCTGCTTGACTCACCTGAGGTGGCGTCCCAGGATAGGAGACCTGTGCAGGTGGCAAGAACATAGGGTTGCTGATCTGAGTCAATGGACCCGGGAACAAGGGGGAGCACATCCGGCTATGGGGCTGCAGCAGAGGAAAGAGACCTGTTAAGCTGGGTCTGGCCCAAGCTCAGCCCCACAGCTTGCCCTGAGCTGCAGACCCCGTTGTCCCAGCCTCGTAACACCTGGAATTCCCAAAGCTTGCCTGGCCAGCCCACCTGGGTGCCAACAGCTGCCACCCGTTCCTGCTGCTCTGCCAGCTTGGCTGCCACAAGCTGGCTCAGCTCTTCCATAGTGAGTCCTGCCAAGGTCCTTCGAGCTGCTTTGATCTGCTGGAGGACATTGGTCAACTGGGCCCTGTGGAGACAAGAGGATGAGGGGGGAAGGGGCTCGGTAGGGACGTAAGCTAGCCTTCCAGGGGATGGAGCTGCGCTCTCTGCCCAGCATAGTCCCTGACTGACCTTCCCTTCCAACAGGCCAATGGCCTCAAGCAGATCCTGCACCAACCAACCAGCTGCTGGCATAAAGGCTGGAAAATCAGCTCTGCCAGACAGAGCTCTCTGAGCAGGGTCAGGCAGTCCCATCGGCCTGAGCCCGAGTGCTCCCCAAGGAGCCCCAAGGGAAGTCCAACACCCCACTGGGGCCACGGGGCCAGATAGACAAAGGCGCTCCGGCCAGCAATGCCCACCCCCCGAAGGGGCCCTTTGCCTGAGGGGGCTGCTTCCTGCACTCACTTATTACACCGAGGAAAGCGCGTCATCAACTTTTCCAGGATCTTCTCCAGCTTGTCCACAGGGGGTGGTCTATGGAATTCTGATGGGGCCTTGACTCCACCCAGGCCTGGAGGGGGAGGCAGTGAGGCCCCGGGCACCCCGTGGGAACTGACCAGGGAGGACAGCCCAGGGCTGCTCCGCTCCTGTGCTGCGGGCAAGGAGGGCGAAGGCTGGCTGGGCCGGGTGATGAGGCTGGGGTTCAGGAGGGGGAATGAAAGCACCCGTGGGTCTGCGCTGGGCATGACCAAGGGGGGCATGGGAACTGACCCGATGGGGAAGGGCAGCTGTGGGGTGAGAGAGGAGTTGGCCTGGAAAGGAGGCAGCAGGAAGTCTGTCTGAGGAAAGAAGGAGGAACATGGTTAGTCCACTGTTACTCTCCGCTAGAGGCCAGGACACTGAAGGCCAGCCTTCCACATCCTGTGGCTCACCTCCAATGGGGGCGGGGGCAGAGGGGGCGTGGGAATCTGTGGGAGGCTGCTCAACTTGGCGCCGTTCCGTACCAGCTGGATGTGGTCGTTGAACTTGTCCTAGGAGGCAAACGTATACTGAGCAAGGTGGAGTGCAGGGGGGAGGGTAAGCAGGGCTTCCTCCGGAGGGAAACACTTAGTCCTGAGAAAAACCCAAGCCCAGCCAGGATCAATCAGCTCAAGCAGCACCTCAAAATGGGGCACCCCACAAACCTCTTTCTCCATAAGAGGGATTCTCTACGCCCACAAAGTTCTTTCAGCTTCATCCTGAGTCCCTCCAGCAGTGTCCAGACCCACAAAACCTCAAAGGCAAACAGCCCTGGGATGTCTCCCCATGATCCCGAGGGGTGGGGGGAGGCACAAGTTATCAGGCACAGCAGCACCCAGTTAAGGGAATTGGGAGGGGGACTTCTGCACTTACGCGGACGCTCTCCTTGGTCATCCGTATTTTGTTCAGCCTTGTCTCCCACTCCTGCTTTGGCCGGATGGTCTCCAGCGTAGGCGGTGCTGACCTACGTGGAAAAGCCGCCCAGGAGGGAAAACAGTTCTGCCGTGTGCTTGCAAACCACCAAGGGCCCGCCCAGCTCAAGGGGAGAAGCCCTGGGCCTCCTCTTTTCCTCCCGAGTCTTTACGACCAAGATTCTGAGCAAGGTGTCGAACACTCAGTCACAGAGGGACAAGTGTGACGTCACGGGGCAGGTAACTAGTCCTGCTTGAAGGAGGATGGCAGAGGGGCTGCCGCCAAGGGCAGGGATGAGCTCTCGCAGAAGACATCCCAGCGGGAGTATCCTGAGCGGTGTTACGGGGCCAACATCGGCCCCAAAGGCCGGAAACTTGCACCCACGCCACTGACTGTGCAATCGTGAAGCACCTGCTCCTGTTAGAAGACCCGCCTGCAGACCACCTCTCCCCTCTCCTTCCCAAAGGCGACTGGAGCAATTCACCCGCTGGCTTAAAAGAACGTCGGGACAGCCCCTCCCACCACACGGACCTGCAAGTCTGCCCACGGTGCCTTCTTTCCCCATTGAGCCCACGCATGGCAACACTCACTTGAGGTAGGTGAGGTGCAGCTCTGCTTCTTTTTCGGCCTCTTCCAGCTTCAGCACCAGGAGCTCCTTTCGGCTTTCCAGAGACAGGATCTGAGAAAAGGGAGCCCAAGCTGCTTATGCTGCCTGACTTTTCCCAGCAGGCGGTGAAATCTGCTTGGGTCATAACCTCCCAACCCCGGCACCTGACCAGCCTCCGCAAGTGCTGCTGGAACAACGCCAGAAGAGGAGCAATGTCCTCCCCAATTCTGGAGCCTCTGCTGATGCAAAGAGCCCCAGGAGGATGCTCAGCCTCAGGGATGCCCCCCCGCACCTCTGCTTTCCAGGCCCGCTCTGTCTCCTCTAAGATTGACCGGTTGATCTCACTGTGCTGGTTCTTCAGCTTGCCCAACTCCAGCTCCCATGCTTCCCTGCAGAGCAAGCAGAGACCGCCAGCTGAATGAGGGGGCCTGCCAGGGGCCCTCAAGGAGCTGCCCTCAAGCCACGCAGCATTTCGAGCCGGCAGAAGACAAGGTCCTCTGAGAACAAGACACCTAATGGGACAGTGCAGACAAGCTCCCTCCCCCCGTTTTCGATTTGAAAGAGCGTCAGTTTCCGTCCTTGGCGACCGCTGTGGAGCCCTTCTTAACGAGTGCAAGAGCAGAGATGGTGATCTGAACCACGTGGTGCGAAGGTAACGCCCCGCCAGGAAATAACATCCCTTTTGTGGTGACAGTCAAGTAGGTACACAAGCCTCCTTACTTCTCCTCCGCCTGTTCAGCAATCAGCGAAACAATCTTGCTCTCCTTCTCTTCTTGTTCCTTCAACAGCCTGGGGGAGCAGAGAGGGAGAGAAGGGGCAGCCCAGTGAATGCTTTTGGTTCAAGACTCCCAGAGAGAGCAGCTGCATCTCTACAGGCAGAAGCCCAAGGCAGTTTGGACCAGAGGCACCAATGCTGCAGACTTGCAAGTTTGCAGACTGGCTCAGTGGGCCAACATGTTGGCCTCTAACTTGGGGCGCTTCCACAAGGGACTCATGGATCTCCTGAGCCCACCAACTCAGAAGGCCTGCAGGAGAAATGTGGGCTAATGTGCAGCGCCACTCCCCACCATACCCTGCCCTCCTATTTCTGTGACCTGGTGCCACCTTTAGAATCAGCTTCCTGAAAAGGCCAGAAACTGCCGCTCTGAAATACCTCCGGCCTTTCTCACAGAGTTTCTCAATTTCTGCCTTCAGGTCTTGCTCCTTTTGCAAAAACTCTTTCTTTTCCTTTTCCATCTTCTTCCTGGTTTCTTTCCGCTTAACGGTCACATCCTGAATGGCCTTCAAGATCTCCTAGGGTGGAAAATAAGCAGCAGCAAGTTCTTAGTATCAAGTTTTCAGAGTTCAAGCTGCTTTGCCTGGGCTCAATATCCTTCAATCTATAGTCTGCTCAGCCGTTCTCTGTTTCTGGCATCAGATGGAATTTCAGAACTCCAACAAATTCTCCACCAAGCCACATCCTCCCTCCAGCCCCCCTTCTGGTCTGAGTCTGGCAGTCCCTGGCACGGCCACTAGATCCAGCGGAGGCAGGCCTTGGGCGCACCTGGTGGTTCTTCATCTCCTCTTCCCTGCGCTGCTGCAGATGCTGGAGTTGCACCTGCAGCTGGTTCTCCACCTGTCTCTGCTTGTCCAGGACTTCTTGGTAACGCTCCTTCAACGAAGCTCTCTCGGACATCATCTTGTCCTACCGGGACCCCAAGAGAGAGGTTTGCGTTCTCTGGGCCACCCTCAAAAGGTAAAGCCTTAAGCCAGAACTTACAAACCCCCATGGTTGGGTTCAGAAAATACCCTGAGCCGAGGAAGACACCAGGTGCGACGGTTCAGCGAGTTGTGTGAAGAAAGCCCCCTTTTCCACCTGACAAGCGTTGTTCATTTCAGTCACAGCCCCCCGCCCCAGCCCTCTATAGTAATCTGAAAAAGAGGGAACTTTTAAAACCAGCAGCACGTCGCTTTCTGGTGTAAAAATTGCAGGGTCAGAAAAGCTTCCACGCCCCCCGTCCCCCGGTGCAAAGAATGAGGCAGGACAGCCTCCACCAGCCCCCAGTCTTGAAAAGATCCCTCTCCCTGAGCCAGAGATGGTGCTGCTTAACCCTGTCTTGGGCTAAAGGACCGGAAGGACAGAGCCCCAGCCTTGCAAACCACCAGAAGCTTAGTTGGCCATGAAGTCAGGACTCATTCTCTCTCTCCAACAAACGGGGCCCAGTGGGGGAATTGCACCCTGCTGGGGAGGGCACTGTGGGGAACCTCACTACCTGCAGACCTGTTCAGCGCAGGAATGCTTCACAATCCTCCCCACTCGTTAATCCAGATTCAGAAGCTGCAGAGCCCAAGGCTCCACGGACACTTGGAAGGGTCAGAGGCAGAAGAACAGCAGTACCCACAATCCCCCCCCGGGTACCCATAGCAGCCAGCCTTTCCACCTTCAAGGGCCCCCTGTATTCTAAGGAACAGATCCCCCTTCGGCCTTGGATAGAGACAGCCAGCATTCAAGACAAGCTCTTCCTCAAAGAGGACGCATCGCACATCCGTGAGAGGAGACCTAATTTGGAGGAGGAGTACTTTGTCCTCTACTTGCCTGTAGGGGTGTAGATGGGGGGACAGGGCCAGGTTGGGAGACAAGCAACAGAGGGGGGGAGGGGAACAAGACCTGCCGTGGCTTCTGCAACTGGGTGATGGGCTGCCCGAGAGGTATCGGGTCCACCTGGGGCACTGGCGACTGTGCAGCAACAAGTCTCAGATACGCTAAGACACGTGGGCAGGTTGGACTGGAAGCAGGAGGAACACAAGAGGCTGCCACCGCCCCTTTTTTGCCTGGCTGGAAAGCAGGGAGGAACGTCTCTTTGCCCCCTTCTGTGGCCAGGAGAATTGTCTCTGGCCACTCTTGAGGCTCAGCATCTGCACCCCCAGAAACAAGAACTGGAGACCATCTCCCCATCCCGGAAAAAGTGCTTTTCTAACTCTAGTGCTTCTCTTTTGCCCCCACCCCTTGAGAACAACAATTACCAAGGGAAGGAGAGCCCCACGCTTACCAGGTTCTTCTCCACGTCCAGATCAGTGTTCGCTTCCAAGTCAGCTCTCCTGAAATCAGTCTACAAAGGAAGAAGAGAATTTGCTTGTCAGCAACCAGAGCAGTAAACATGACTTTCTGTAACTCTCAATTCCCCTTCCACCACCATTTTTGCCCAGCAGCCTCTGGTCCAGTTGCACCACAAAGGTTTGGGCCCTGGCTGGTGCTCCAGCCCCAGCCCTCCTGCTTCCTCCATCACAGAGCTAACTGGAGCAGAAAGGAGGGCTCGGTTCAGACACCTGGTCAGCCACTAAGCTCTCCCTCTTTCTCTTCCACCCAGATTTCTTGGACTGCTGCAGAGATGAAGAAACCGCCAGGCATTTTGCCGAGCTCGAGCCTTCGCTGCACTTCAGCGCACGACCAGGCCCCTTTCTGAGGCCAGAGAGCCTCCCCTCCCAGCCCCACCTCTTGCTGGGAGGCTCAGTGAAGCACCGATCCCTGACCTGGACTGCAATGTTTTGGGAGGGCCTTGTGACCCCATCTTCCTGGCCCTGGCTCTTCACACCCAGAGAGGCTGCCAGGGGCGCATCTTCCAAATCTGGGCACCCATTCTGCCGCCTTCCGTGCTGCAAGATCAAAGACCCCAGCTCAGCTGTGGAGCAGTTAAGGTCCGCGGAGTGGGCTGTCTGTGGAAGCAGCGGGGCCGTTGGTAGACTTTCCCCAGGCGGGGAGGCTCTCTTTTCTCCCACAGCATTGTCCAGATCAGGCAAGGAGGGTGCCTCACTTGAGGAGCTGGCTGGAGGCAAGGCGGCGGCCTCGGGCAGGGAAGACTCTTCCGGGGGCGCACGACGCTCGAGAACGGGCGAGGAGGAGGACGGGGGCGAGGAGGACGAGGACGGAGAGTCCGGGTCCCCAGAGCCCCTTTCGACTTCATCTCCCAGGCGCTCGCGCTCCCTCGGCCGGCTGGGCTCGACGAGATCCAGCGGGAGACGGCCGCGTGCAGGAAGCTCGCCGGCGCTGACCGAAAGAGCACAGGGACGGAGGGAGAGAAGCGTTCAGGCCCGGGACGGACGTTCCCCGCGCGCCGCAAAACGCGCTCGGCGGCTTCCCGGGGCGGCCAGGCTCGGGGCGCCGGTTCTCCCCGGACGGGAGAAGCGGCCTTAGCGACGGGGCAG